GGATGGACAGAGGGACGCAGGGATGCAGGGAGGGAAGCAGGGATGGACAGAGGGATGCAGGGATGGATGGAAGGATGCAGGAAACAATGTAAGGAGAGATGGAAGGCCAGAGGGATGCAGGGAGGGAAGCAGGGATGGACGGAAGGATACAGGGATGGATGGAGGGATGCAGGAAACAATGCAAGGAGAGATGGAGGGCCAAAGGGATGGAAGGAGGGATGGATGGGGGGCGATATGCACAGGACGGGCAAGGGCACCGGGGCCGGATGGCACGGGGACAGCCATGGGGATGGTCGGGGACAGTACGAGGGGCAGAGGGAGGGGGGGTGCGGGCTGGCCCCCCAGATGGTGGGGCCGCGAGGCTGCCCCCGCGCCGGCTCTCTGCTGCGCTTCGCAGCTAATTGAGTGAAATGGCTGTCAGCGATGTAATTAAAGGGGAGCGCGAGTGCTCGGGCAGGCCTCAAACAGATGGAAGGCCCCTTAATTGGTAATTAAATTCCTCCCTGGCAGGTGAGATGGAGCAGCAGCCGGGGCCCCACAAGGCCGCTGGCAGCCGGGCCCCCCTCCCCAAAGCCACGGAGGGGGAGGCAAAGCCAGTTCCCGGCCCCATCGGAGCTGAGGAGGGGGATGACGCAGCCATGGGGCTGAGGGTCCCTGTCCCCAGCCCTGCCTCATCCCTTTGTCTGCCAACTTCTGGAGCAAACCCAGCCCCGAGCCCCCCGGGGCTGCAGCGTCGCCCCCCCCCCCTCCCGCAGCCGGTGACAATCACCCAGGGGACAGGGACCCGCAGAGGACCCCAACATTTTTGGCGGGCTCCTTGCCCAGGACCGTAGATCTCTGCCATCCACATGTCCCCCTGCTCCGTGTCCCCTCTGTCCACGTCCCCTCCATCCACGCATCCCCCGACACCAGGCACACGTGGGGCAGAGGGGAGCAGACGCAAAGGCAGCAGGGTGCAGGCAGGGATGGGCAGAGGGGGGGCTTTGAAACCCGCCCTAATGCCTGCTGCAACCCCGCTTCCCCCCCCCCCCAACCCCAATGCTGATCCCCGCCAGCCAGGAAGGGAGTATTTTATTTTTCTGTCATTATCTGCCGGTAATGTCGGAGATAATGGGAACAGCGATCGGCGGCGCCGGCCAATATTTCATGCACGATGGGATGGCGGGGCCGGGGCCCCCCGAGACAGCGATATTAATAACGGCCCCACGCCGCCGCCCTAATGAAGCCCCTAA